ATGTCTGAACAAGACAATGTAACACTTAATATGTAGCCCCATACTCTCTTTGATTTATTCAGTTATAAGCTTCCCCAAAGACAAGAGCCATGTGTTCAGCATTTGTTTGTTTGTTTCTAACATTGAATAGTGTAGTGATAGAAACATAGACCCATGTGTTCATTGGTTGATGGAAATTAGTGATAACCAAGTATATGAAAATGTGACTTAAAGATAGCATCCTGTTTAATGATTCTTTAAAGTTCTATTTATTTATGTGGTTTTTGTTTTTCTGAATATTGCATTCTGAATAGAATATGTATGAATTTAAATCATATTTATTTTTATTCTTATTCTCCTTCCATAGGAGCTTCTCCAATTTTTCCTTTATTTCTTCGGGCTCTGTATAAATGATAAACATCCCAAAATATTACCTAGTATAGTATACACACACACACATTATTATAATATTGCATAATATAATAATATGACATAATTTTATAATTAATATAATTATTAACATTATTATATTATAATATAATATATATTGTATGGTTACTGAATTTATGAAACACTTCACAATTTATAAAATTATTTAATTAAATAGAATAGGTCTTTTTATAATTATGTATCAGGAGGTTAGTAGTTTGCTAAATTAATATCACAAGAAAAGTGACTACATCATTCACTGCAACATAAAAGCAGCCACCTACAGTCAATCTTGAATATCTATTCTGTCTCATTTTACTTTTAAAGGTATCATGTGAGTGTGTCTAGGATAGTATTGAGACAACTGTCTTTTTGTTTTAGGTGTATGTAAAATACTCAACATATAATTACCATATTAAAAAATTATTCACTTATTTTGAGAAAGAGAGAGAAAGAGTGCAAACATGAGCAGGGAGCATGGCAGAGAGGGAGGGAGAGAGAGAATCCCAAGCAGGCTCAGAGCCCAAGGCAGGGCTCAAACCGTGAACTGTGAGGTCATGCTCTGACCTGAAGTCAAGAGTCAGACACTTAACAAACTGAGCCCCTCTTTTTAAATAAATATTAGGACCATGCATGCCAAGATCAATTACTCAACTCCCAATTTTAATAAATTGAGATCTCCTCTCTTCAGATTAGAGCTCTTGATGGTTATTATAATATTAGAATTGTTGAGAGTTGAAACGAACCTGGTTGATGAAATTATAGTGTAAGTATTTATCAACAAGAAAATCCTTCACGTCATTTGCAGATAAAATGGCTTACACCAAATGTAGATTTTAGGTAAGTCCATTTGAACTCTCCCATTTCAACTGAGTGCTATAAAGAGACAATCTTTACTATTTTATGCCAAATGTGTTATTTTTATACTAAGAATTACAAATGCAGTGCTAATGTTTTCTGAATCAAAATACTGGGAACATAGTCTGAAAATTACCTCTATGTACATGAGAAAAAGAAGGCAAGGTATCTGAAATGAGAGCCATTATGAAATTTGAGCATATGTGGTTACTGTAATTCATGATATGGTTTCCTCATCAGAATATGCATGCCATGTTTATAGTTGCAGTATTGTATTGAATAGGAATTATATTTTGTTCACATTTGCATATTGGCTATATTTTTTAGAAATCTGAAGCATGTTCAATTCTCCACTGTTGTTCTTCAAAAACAAAATGAAACAAAAAATTCCCTGGATGCTAACATATTTTTATTTTTTTAAATATTTTATTTATTTTAGAGAAAGACAGACAGAGAGTGAGCAGGGAGGGGCAGAGAAAGAGGGGGATACAGAATCTGAAGGAGGCTCTGGGCTTCATGCTGTCAGCACTGTGAGATCATGACCTGAGCCCAAGTTGGACTCTTAACTGACTGAGCCACCCAATCACACCCCTGGATGCTAACATATTTTAAGCCAAAAAGAATGTCTCTACATATTCAAAATACAATTTTAAAATCTTCATTGAAAAAGGGAGCACAGAGCATAGAGGATATTGGCAGAAATTTAAAATGACCACTGGTTCATTTCAATGACATGTATTAGAAAGCCAGTGTTGGTTATTTGTATTATAGAACAAATCTCATTACTTTCAAAATGTATGATTTGGCGAAAATCATTTAAATTCTTTGTGATTTTCTCTATCTTTAAAATGGTCATAATTATTAAGAGTATTTATAATGTGAAGACACTTAAAGATCTGAAGTAAGTCAAAATAGGAAATAAATATGGATTAAAAGAAGTTTGAAAACTCAGTTTGTAACATCTAATACTTTATTATCTAATATCTATTATTTTATTATTAAATCTCTACTATGTGTATATATACTATGTGTATTTATTATGCATTGTAAAAAAATTAAAAATAAAATCCAAAATTAGCTACTATTTATTCTAACTTGAAAGTTTTTGAAACAAAGCAGTTCCTCTTATTGTTTCAAAATGCATGAAATTTGAGAACTTCTGTTATTTTCCCCTTGGGAGAAGATTTTCAGTGATCTTTGTAAAGTTAACTACATCTGAAATAGCTTGCAGTCATGAAGTGTGGTTAACATACAATGGCAGGGATTAGAGGAGGTGAAAGAGGGAGAATACAGGATAAGTAAGTGAGGAACGTGGGGATAAGAGTTAATAAATGTTAAAAAAAAAAAAGATCAGAAACCAAATTGACCTTTCTTTATGCCTTTACAGAATATTTGATATGTATATTATTTGTACTGACAGTTTATTGATTATGAAAATTGGGCAAAATTAGAACACTTATTTTATTTAATTAATTTATTTTTATATTTCCTAGGAGTTTATTTGTATATAATTTAGTGTCAAGTTGGTTTCTATACAGCACCTAGTGCTCATCTCAACAAGTGCCATCCTCAATGCCCATCACCTATTTTCCCCTTTCCCCCAGCCTCAACCCTCAGTTTGTTTTCCGTATTTAAGAGTCTCTTATGGTTTGCCTCCCTCCTTCTTGGTTTATAACTTTTTTTCTCCTTCCCCTCCCCCATAGTCTTCTGTTAAATTTCTCGAGATCCACATATGAGTGAAAACATATGATATCTGTCTTCCTCTGACTGACTTATTTCATTTCGCATAACACCCTCCAGTTCCATCCACGTTGCTGCAACTGGCCAGATTTCATTCTTTCTCATTGCCAGGTAGTATAGAATACCTATTTTAAAGAATTGAATGAAAATCAGTATGTAAGTGATGAATCACTAAATTCTATTCCTGAAACTAATATTACATATATGTTATCTAACTGTAATTTAAATAAAAACTTGAAACAAAAAAATAAATTAAATAGTAATAAAAAATAAAGAATTGAATGAAGATCACTTAAAGTACAGCCATGTAAATTGTATAGCAGTGTTTGGTACATTGTAAAATGTCAATAAATATCAACTATTGATTCTGTAGCTATTTATTATGTTCTTCTTACAATTATTTCCATGTATTTCTTTTTTTATGTTAGTTGTATTATTTATTTATTTATAATTTACATCAAAGTTAGCATATAGTGCAATAATGATTTCAGGAATAGAATCCAATGATTCATCCTCTACATATAACACCCACTGTTCATCCCAACAAGTGTCTTCCTTATGGTCCCTTGCCCATTTAGCCCATCCCCCCACCTACAACCCCTCCAGCAACCCTTAGTTTGTTCTCTGTATTTAAGAGTCTCTTATGTTTTGTCCCCCTCCCTCTTCTTATATTATTTTTACTTCCCTTCCCCTATGTTCATCTGTTTTGCATTTTAAATTCTACATATGATAATTTGTCTTTGACTAATTTCATTTAGCATAATACTCTCTAGTTCCATCCACATTGTTGCAAATGGCAAGATTTCATTCTTTTTGATTGTCCAGTAATACTTCATTGTATAAATATGCCACATCTTCTTTATCCATTCATCAGTTGATGGACATTTGGACTCTTTCCATACTTTGACTATTGTTGATAGTGCTGCTATAAACATTGGGGTGCATGTGCCTCTTTGAAACAGCACATCTGTATCCTTTGGATAAATACTTGGTAGTGCAATTGTTGAGTCATAGGATAGTTTTATTTTTAATTTTTTGAAGAAGTTTCATACTGTTTTCCAGAGTGGCCACAACAGTTTGCATTGCCACCAGCAGTGCAAAAGGGTTCCCCTTTCTCTGCGTCCTTGCCAACATCTGTTGTTGCCTAAGTTGTTAATATTAGCCATTCTGACTGGTGTGAGGTCTTATCTCATTGTGTATTTTCTTCTTATTACTAATCTGGCTTAAATTTCTTTGAATACATATAAACTATAACAGGGGACTACTATTTATTGAAACACTAGCCAAAATTTAATCTATAGTAAACCATTCTAGGGTAATAATTTCAGTGAACTTTTTTCACAAAAATGTCATTAAGCTTACATTACACTGGTATCATTCTAAGCATATAGCAAAGAGAAATTAAAGGCTTTATTAAGGGAATATTTTGGTTCTAATGCGTCCATCTTGAAGACTCCCTTAATATCTTCTTTGCAAGTCCAATGACCCAGAACTTGAATTTAAAAAAAAATAAGCAGTGGGGCACCTGGGTGGTGCAGTCAGTTAAGCATCTGACTCTTGACTGTGCTCAAGTCATAATTGCACAGTTCATGAGTTCAAGCTTTCCATCAGGCTCTGTGCTGGCAGTAGGAGCCTGCTTGGGATTCTCTGTCTCCCCTTCTCTCTGCCCCTCCCTGCTTGTTCTCTATTTCTCTCTCTCAAAACAAATAAATAAACTTAAAAAAATAAACCATGTATGTTTATCGATTTTAAACTTCATTTTATTATCTTGTCTTTGAGAGTATGTAAGAACATTGTGGAAGGTAATTAAAATCATAGAGACAGTATTGATTTTTTATATGTAGACTTAAAAATTCTTTGAATATTCTATTACAAAGCACTAATATTAGTAAGTAAAAGAAATATTATATGCAAAATTTCTTTCACTATATGTTTGGAGGGATTTTTTAAAATTTAAGAGTCAGCTAAAGGAGTTAGAGAAAGAGCATTATTTCTTAAATCTCTGAACGAAACGACAGTGTAGACCCTTTCATTTTCTTTTCATAATCTTTTTCAAATCTCTCATACTGGGCTACAGTGAAGTGATTTTTCCAATCTCCCAAAATACCTGAAAAGAAAGATAAAATGATAAATTTGAGACAGCTATAAAATTTCCTGTTAGATCAGTCTTAGTCTGAATTACCACGCATATATATATACATATATATATATATATGTATGTATATATGTATGTATATATATTTTTTTAAAATTTAAATTCAAGTTCATTAACATGTAGTGTAGTACTGGTTTCAGGAGTAAATTTTAGTGATTTGTCACTTTCATGTAACACTCAGTGCTAGTTCCAACAAGAACCCTCCTTCTGCAATGTCCATCACTCATTTAGATGACCCCCTCACCTCCACTCCAGCCACCATCAGTTTATTTTCTGTATTTAAGTGTCTCTTATGGTTTGCCTCCCTCTCAGTACTTATTTTATTTTTCATTCCCTTCCCTTATGTTCATCTGTTTTGTTTCTTAAATTCCAAATATCAGTGAAATAATATGACATTTGTCTTTCTCTGACTGACTTATTTCACTTATTACACTCTTTTCTACCCTTTGGATAAATACCTGGGTCATAAGGTAGTTCTATTTTTATTTTTGAGGAACCTCCATAGTGCTTTGTGACTGCACCAGCTTACATCCCAGTCAACAGTGTAGGAGTGTTCCCCTTCTCCACATTCTTGTCAATATCTGTTGTTTCTTGGGTTGTTCATTTTTGCCATTCTGACAAATGGCTTTTGATTTGTATTTCTCTGATGGTGAGTGATGTTGAGCATCTTTTCATGTCTCTGTTAGCCATCTGGATGTCTTCTTTGGAAAAGTGTCTATTCATGTCTTCTGCCTATTTTTTCACTGGATTATTTCTTTTTTGGGTGTTGAGTTTGAGAAGTTACTTATGGATTTTGGATATTAATACTTTATGTCATTTGCAGATATGTCATTTGCAAATATCTTCTCACATTCTGTGGGTTGCCTTGTAGTTTTGTTGATCTAGTCCATTGCTGTGTAGAAGTTTTTTATCTTGACGAAGTCCCATCAGTTAATTTTTGCTTTTGTTTCCCATGCCTCTGGTGACCTTAGCTAGAAGTGGCTCTAGCTAAGGTGAAAGAGGTTTCTGCCTGTTTTCTTCTCTAGGATTTTGATGGTTTCCTGTCTCACATATAGGTCTTTCATACATTTTTAATTAAGTTTTGTGTATGGTGTAAGAAAGTGGTCCAGGCTAATTCTTCTTCATGTCACTGTCATGTATTCCAAGAACCATTTGTTGAAGAGAATGTCTTTTTTCCATTGGATATTTCCTGCTTTGATGAAGATTAGTTGGCCATATATTTGTGGGTCCAGTTTTGGGTTCTCTATCTGTTCCATTGATCTATGTTTTTGTGCCAATATCAAACTGTCTTGATGATTACAATTTTGTAATATAGTTTAAAGTTCAGAATTGTGATGTCCCTAGCATTCAGGGTCTTTCCTGGTGCCATACAAATTTTAGAATTGTTTGTTCTAGCTCTGTGAGGAATGTTGTCGTTATTTTCACAAGCATTGCATTGAACGTATAGATTGCTTTGGGTAGTATCAACATTTTAACAATATTTGTTCTTCTGATCCCAGGGCATGGAATGTTTTTCCGTTTCTTTGTGTCCTCTTCAATTTCTTTCATAAGCTATCTATAGTTTTCAGCATATAGAACTTTTACCTCTTTGGTTAGGTTTATTCCTAGGTATCTCATGGGGTTTTTTTTCTTTCTTTCTTTCTTTTTTTTTTTGTGCAATTATAAATGGGATTGATTCCTTGATTTCTCTTTCTGCTGCTTCACTATTTGTCTATAGAAATGCAACAGATTTCCATATGTTAATTTTATGCCTTGAGGCTTTGCTGAATATCTGATAAAAAAACAATGCCTTTTTCATAGAATATCTCATAGGTAACCCATAAGTCATATGCAAGCCCAGTTTTAGAGGAGAAAAAAGGAAAGATAACATGTCAAAATAACTTTGTTAATCTGTCCTAGGATTTCTCAACTTTGACATTTTATTTATTTATATTCTCACTGTTAACATTTGAAGCCAACTTGCTGGGTGGCTGTGGGGACTGGCTTGTGCTTTATAGCATGTTTAGCAGCATCCTTGGCCTGTACACATTTGATGCCTATAGCATACCTTTAGTCATGACTATCAAAAATGTCTTCAGATGTTTCCAGACATTCCCTGGGAGGCATAATCATACCTGGTTGAGATTCAGATATTCCTAGAAAGACTTATCCATGGCACACTTTCTAACATTCTAAAAAATATCTCTGGCATGCATGAAGACACATTATAATTAAAATTTTTCCTCAATACAGATACCTGGGTGGCTCAGTCAGTTAAGTGTCAGATTAATGATCTAGGCTCAGGTCATGATCTCATAGTTCTGTGGGATCGACCCTCATGTTGGGCTTTACACTGGCAGTGTGGAGACTGCTTGGGATTCTTTTTCTTCTTCTCTCTCTGCCCCTCCCCAGCCTGTGCACATGTTCTCTCTCTCCCTCTTAAAATAAATAAATAAACTTTAAAAAATTACCCTTAATAGTCCCTAGATAAGCTCTCACCAAAATACCTTTTTCTCCAAAACTGTCTTAATTTTTATTAATAATTATTAACTCTCTGCTGTAAGATTTTTACACTCCTCTCCATTGACATGCATTGTGTGATTCCTCTTTGCCTCATTAACTTTGGGCTTGAATTTTTGATATGTCTTGGCTAATGGAATTTGGTATGTGTAATATAATCCACATTTAAACAGAAACTTTAAAGGCATTGAAAGCTTCTGACAGCATCTTGCTCTTCCTCTCTACCAGGATATTGGACATATCCCACAAATGGATAGCTTTTTCAGTATGTGTTTCAGAAAGAGAAAACTTAAGAGGCTGAGACCATGAGAACCAAACAAAATGATCAGAATCAAAAAGAGTAAGTAAAACTGTATTAGCCACTGGAGGCCAAGATTTACCAACATTAAGTAAAATGTAAAACTTGTGGTTTTAGGGGCACCTGAGTGGCTCAGTTGATTTTGACTCAGGTCATGATCTCATGGTTGGTGAGTTTGAGCACCACATCAGGTTGTGTGCTGACAGCATGGAGCCTGCTTGGGATTTTCAGTCTCTCTCTGCCCCTCACCACTCCTCTCTCTGTCTGTCTGTCTCTCTTTCTCTCTCTCTCTCTCTCTCTCTCTCAAAATAAATAAACATTAAAAAGAGCTTTTGGTTTTAAGTCACTGAGATTTTTGGAGTTAATTGTTTTACAACAAAGCTGATACATACACAACTAATAGAATCTTTTTCTCTCTCTCTGTCTCTCTCTCTCTCTCTCACACACACACACACACATTCACATACACAATTCAATTCAACACATATTTATTAAGGGCTTATATCTTGCAAGATGTTAGCTATACCTTGAAATCAATGCTGAGGATACAATAATTTACCGTATCATTGCAACAACCTCAAGGAGTTGACACTTTTACTCATTAATCTGATATATCTAACATCATTTAAGCTGGTTACCGACTGCAGCAAAATTTTTAAGACATATGAAGAATATCTAGACAGTTCAGACAAATGAAAGACATTCTTCTGATATAACGATGGATGCCAAGTCTTGTCTTTATCAATGCATAGGCTCTTGAGTAAACATTTCTCATTAGAAGGTCTGTCTTACATGTTAGGGTTATAGGAATTATAGAGTTTATTTGCAACATTTTCTCCTAAGGTTTTGTTGTTGTTGTTCCTAATTTTATTCTTGTCAGCGTACTTAATCTCTTTCCATTTCCTACAGTATTGCACTTAGCTTCCCCCCTACCTATTAGTAAACTAGTATATGTAATTAGCAAACTAGTATATGATTTCTTACCTTTTCTCATGAAGGGAGATATGGAATGATCCATACGAGCACTTGACATAGTGGTATAATTTGTACATGGATTCTGTTTCATCACATCAAAAGAGCTATGGTAGAGGATTTTATCCACAGTTTCTTATGGCATATCTTTTTCTAGAAACTTTAACAACTTCTGAATTCCATGCTTTGGATCCTAGAAAATTATAAAGTAAAAGAATTATTTCAGGTAGACTTAGTCATGAAATGGGCAATGCATTTAATAAGGTTCTACATATGTCAATGTGACAGAGGAAATGATTTTATATTTTTATGTGCATGCTTTATTTTTCTTTGCAAAGTACATGTCCTATTCTTGGTTATGCCAGGCAACCATCTGCTAAAAGGAAGATTAAATTCTGTTTCAAAATATGCAAACAAATTGGGTTAATATTCAAACTTTTACATTCAAAAATAAAATTAACCTGTAGAATAACAAATGGTAATAAAGCAAGCTACTATTATCATAAGGTATAATTTTCAAAATCTTGGATCTCCTTTTTTACAGCATATCTAACATCAAGAAATGACTATCTATCAAACATTTAGAGAAGCATTAATTAATACCTCAAATTCTTCCAAAAGAGTAGAAAAGAGGTAACACTTCCAAACCAGTTTTATAAGGCAAGCATTACCCAAATGACAAAAAACAGATAAGAACAGCACAGGAAAATAATGTACTAACATCTCTGATGAATATCAGTGCCAAAGTCCTGGACAATATACTAGCAACCAAAATTCAAAAGCACATTGAAAGATTTGAATATCATGACCAAGTGGGATTTATTCCAGGGATACAAAAATAGTTTAACATCAGCAAGTCAATCAATGTGATACATCACATTAACAAAATGAAAGATAAAAATCATATGATCGTTTCAAAAGATATGCTGGTAGATGCTATAAAAAGAACAATAGCAAAAGAGACTTTTTTCCAGTTTATTTATGTATTTTGAAAGAGAGGAAAAGACAAAGAGAGAGAGAGAGAGAGAGAGAGAGAGCAAGCATGCAAGGCAGAAAGAGAGGGAGAGACAGAATCCCACATGCTCTCATGTCAGCACAGAGCCTGACACAGGGCTCAATTCCACGAACCATGAGATCATGACCTAGCTGAAATCAAGAGTCAGATGCTTAACCAACTGAACCATCCAGAAGCCCCGCAAAAAAGACTAACAGATAAGCCAAGGTGAATTATTTGACATTATGGACATGAAAGACTCTGTGGAGAGTTAACATTTAAATTAAGATATGAAGGATGAAAAAAAAGTTAACTTGAAAATAGTGAGGGCAAATATTTCAAGCAAGCTCACTTAGTCAGAAAAAGAAAGGTGATACCTGAAGAAATTGGAGAGATAGGGACTATATAATACTGAACTTGAAATTATTTTAATAATTTTGTATTTCATGTAGCGACAGAAACCACTGAGAGATTTAAAGAAGGGCATACTCTGAGTTTTCAAGAGGATTATTTTCTCTGAGTGGACAATAGAAGCATGAGGTGCTTGAAATAATTCAAGATAGTTGCTAGAACTAGAGCAGGAAGCAGTAGTGGTGGAAAAATAGGGGATTGAGTAAAAGACCAATTTTCAAGGTGGAGTTAATAGGATAGTGGATCAGTCATATTTAGAGATCAAGAAGGAAGGAAAATGTGATATATAAAAAAGATGAATCTTAGTTTTCCTTAAAACGAAAAAGAGGAATTGTATTGTAATTGCCTCTTACCTCTTTCATGTCTTCATAGAATAGGTAAAGAATACGATAATCATTCCTCTTCTCCCACCAGCCTTTCACATGATCATACCAAGAACCAAAAGCCACTAAATTGAAAGGTACAATGTTTGGAAAGTTAAAACCATTTGCATGAAGAACTGTTACATATTATCCAAGTAATCATTATCAATATAAAAGCACTTACCAGTTCAAGAAACTGGGGTGATAGGATAATTACCTCTGTCCTTACTAAATTTACACTTACTTGAAAGGAGTGGCACAAAAGTTCATAGAAGAAGAAGAGAGGGAGAGAAAATGATCGGGGTGGAGAGGTTAAGAAAGGACTCTGGAGGAAGAAAAATTTATTGGATCTAAGAAGAAGAATTGGGTTTTGATAATGGTAAGAATTAGGAGACATTTTATGGATAGAGAATAATCCAAGCAGCAGCAGGAGTAAAAAATTGCAAGATACCATTGAGATGTACTTGCCTTGAAAAGAGAGTTTTTAATAGAAGGGTGTTTATGTGAGAACTCTATGTAGAGCTACAACCATTGGCATAAATGTGTTTCCCTGAAACAGAGAATTTACAGGTAGAGAAACAGAGCCTTAAGGATAAAATCTTCACTCAAGAATTTTCAGTCTGTGTAATAAAAATCAGGGAATGGTAGGGAAAAAAGAGCCCAAGAAATATGTATGAAATTGAAGCAATACAATTGGCTGCACAGGGATGAAAACCCTTAATCGTCACTAAGCTCTAATGAAACAACTAGACTAATAACTGAAAAATCTGTTATATAGTCCCCAAAAGTTCGTAAAGTGAAGATACAGACTATGTATTCTGCTTGTTCTATAGTCTTCCTAATACATTAGTGGAGTGCTGGGTACATATGGGTTTATAATAAACACAGATTTATATCTGAACTTTCTGTCTTCTTGCAAAAGGACTTTTCACTGTAGAACTCCTTGAGTAAAGTAAGAGTTGAACCCACCCTTCCCAGTCATGAATTTATCCAGGAACTCTTCCCAGGTGCCAGGCTCTGGGTGTATTTTTGCCATCTGGTAGAAATAATAGTAAGACACAGCCACATCTTTAGCATTTCGTGCCATGTAGACCATCTGTGGGGAGATACAGCAAATCATATTTTCATTTATATTATTTAAAAGTAAAATTTTGCTTATCTTGCAACAATGCTTATTTTCTCATATCAATTTCCTGATCTTAGCATTTATATATGCTACATATATACTTGAAATATTCACAACTATGTATTATTTTAACACAAAGATTTGGGCTTTCACACTCTGTTTCTCCTTAGCTTTTGAAAAGAACATCTCTTAAAACACAGGAAACCAAATATAATAAGAATTATAGTAAATATTAAGTTAACAAAAATGAGTTAATATTGTTTTAAAATTTAAAATATTATTCTATATCACTTATTAAAACATATAAAAAGAAACATAGAAAATATAAAACTTATAGAAAGATAAAGTAAAAATTTTAAAGCTGAAAAAAATGTCCTATTTTTAATTGAAAATAAATTTTTATTTGGGTACTTTTAATCAATAATGATTAAACATTCTTCATTTTGTTCATGAACATGGCTACATAACAATCATTGCTGTTTACAGTGACTTGGTATGAGATTAAAATTTATTTTATGTATAGAGCCCTAAAGATATTTTGAGCATATTCTCCAATAGAAATCACAGTTATGTCTCAGTGTTAACTAAGTTTTCAGGGAAGTCCACTGAAATCCACTGGCCTACTTTTCCTCTGAAGTATGTCTAATAATACTAAGGTCCCAGCCACCCTTGCAGTAAACATATCTCTAAGGGAAAATTCATTCAGGAAGAAATCTCAGTCTCTATAATTAGAGTCAGCTTCCTTCTTTTCTTCCAATTGATGGGAAAAAGAAATGGGAAGTTTTATATTCCCAAGTCACTGATAGTTGTTTTCATATACTGGGACAAAAAGGAAGTGGGAAAAAGAGGTTTTTCAAAAGACTGAGTGTAGAGTTCTAAGAGTTGAGACTGTTGCTATGTCATTTCTTGAGATAAACATTTCCAATAACTTCCTATTTCAATAGCAGGAGTCTGTGAACGAACCAGCTGTTTTCTTCTATCATCGTGTAAGTTCTTTAGTGAGGACTGGTTCATTTCCCTCAGTGTAGATAGAAGGCCATCCTGAAGATATCCCTCAATTCTCTTAATGGCAAGGCCATGTGTTTCTGGGAACATCTAAAGATTTTCACCTTCGGAATTAAGATGATAAACTATATCCTTACTTCCTTCTCATTTTTTGGTTTTAATTAGAGTTTGAATAAAAAAGAAAGTCATACATAAATGCACGTACAGACTTATTTGTATAACAAGGTTGAAAATATGTATAATCAATTTCCAAAGGGAAAACAACAGCAGCTTTGCTCAGCCTCTGTACATGTAGTTTTCCCTGTGTAAAATGTCCTTGTACATCCAAAAAAACTCTCACTCTTTCTTCAGGATACTGATCAGGGCTTTTGTCATTTATGAGACATCTTTGTACCATAGAAACCTTTTGATCTCGTGTATTAGTACTTATCTTACTGATATGTAACTATTTTTCATATGTATTTGTCTTTTTCTCCACTCCTTGACATATTTTACAGGACCATATGCTATACAGTGCAGAGGTCAGTGACTTACTATCATTGCATAATATGGGCATAATAAAGTGGCAAGCAGGCAAAGATCAATAGTATTCATAAAAATGAATAAAGTAGCATGCTCTTAGATGGCAGAGAATGTCTTATTTGTGTTTGCATTTATAATGACAATTACAATATTGGTACATACACAGTAGCACTTCTATAAATGTTTACTGATTATACACTTATTGAAGAATTTTGCTTACAGGTAGCTGAATCAGAACTACAAGGAGAAGTTAAAAATTAATATATTTCAACATCCTTCTCTCTATAATTGATAGAAAAATATGAAAAAATGAGAAATGTGACATCAGTACAGATTCTATATATATTAAAAGAATGTTAAAGGCATATCATGAGCAACTTTATTACAAAAATGTGACAGATTATTTTTTAAATTTTCTTGAAGTTTATTTATTTATTTTGAGAGATAAAGAGAGCCAGATGGGGAGGGGCAGTGAGAGGGAGAGAGAGAATCCCAAGCAGGGTCTGCACTGTCAGTGCAGAGCCCAGCACAAGGTTTGAACCTGTGAACTGTGAGATCATGATCTGAGCCAAAACCAAGAGTCAGACACTTAACCAACTGAGTCATCCAGGTGCCCCCCAAAATTTAACAGTTTAAATGAGATGGACCAATTCCTTACAATGCATAAACTACCAAAGATCATGCAAGGAAAAGTGTATAACCTGAATAATACTATTTCTATGAAATATATTGAATTTGCAGTTAAAAATCCTTCCAGAAGAAGAAAATTCCAGGCCTAGATTGCTTCAATGGTGAATTGTACAAAATATTAAGAATGAAATAGTACCAATTTCAACCAAACACTCCCAGTAAGTTGGAAAAGAGTAAATACCTTCCAATTCATCTTATTACTCCCTATAATACCAAAGGAATTATTCCCTAATGATAAACACATTATAATGAAAAATAAACTAGAGTTCAATATCTCCTAAAGATACAAATTATTTTTAAAATTAGCAAATTGGACTCAGTAATATGACAGCACCAGATTAATACATATCTTAAACAAATACAATCAATAATTAAATATAAAGTATCCAAGGTTGTTTTAATATTTAAAATCAATTGATGTAATTAATTAATCATAGTAACAGACTAAAATAATGGAAAAGTATATGATTGGTCTTTTTTTTAATGTTTATTTTTGAGAGAGAGATAGAGACACAGTGCTAGCAGGGGAGGGGCAGAGAAAGAGGGAGAATCTGAAGTAAGAATCTGAAGTAAGCTCCAGGCTCTGAGCTGTCAGCAAAGAGCCCGACATGGGGCTCAAACTCACAAAGTGTGAGATCATGACCTGAGCTGAAGTCAGAGGCTTAACTTACTGAGTCACTCAGGCGCGCCCCCCCCCCCATGATTGGTCTTAATAGGTACAGAATAAATCATTAGATAAAATCCAGCATGCATTCCTGTTAAAAACTCAGCAAAATAAGAACAGAACAAAACTTCCTCAGCCAGGTAAAGGTCATGTACAAAATAACATACAGGTGACATCATCATACTTACAAATGAATTTTCTCTAAGATCAAAAGCAAGAGAAGGTCATCTGCTCTCATCACGCCTATTCACTATTGTATTAGAAATTCTATCCAGTTTAATAAGGCATCATCATCATCATCATCATCATCATAAGTAAAAAGCTTCAGATTGGTAAAAAAGAAGTAAGAATATGTTTTTTTATTTACTAACAGCATGAGCATCTGTATAGAATAATGAATGGGATATATAAAATATCTATTATATCTATTAAGTGAATTTAGCAAGGTTTCAGAATAAAAGATTTATGCTCATATACCAGGAACAAACATTCAGAAAATAATGTTGGTTTATGCATGTGTGTTGAGGAAGATAGAGAGAAAGAGGAAGAGAGAGAGAGAATTACTATTATATGAGGAAATTTTAAAAAGAACATCTCTACTTATAGATATTAAATAGATATTTAGATCTAAATGTGATAACTGAAACAATAAAGCCAATAGAAGTAAACAGAAGAGAGACTATCTTCATAACTTTAGGGAAGGTATTTTCTTAAAAGAAAACGCACACACCAAAAATAAAAAATAAAGAAAAAAACTGACAAACTTCAAAATTAAGAACTTCTTTAAGACATTATCAAGAAAAGGAAAAAAGTAGAGTCAATTGGGATATAAAAATATTCAATTATCTTATCAAAGGACTTGTATCCAGAATATATGGAGAATTTCTACCTTAGTAATAAAAAAAAAAAAAAAGAAAGAAACACCTATAGGAGGAAAAAGGCCAAGGAACTTACACAGATACCTCAGAGAAGAAGATATTTAAGCTATGTAAAGGTGTTTCACCTAATTAGTCATTAGGGAAATATGAAAATCACAATGAGATGACACCATACATCTATAAGTATGGCTAAAAGTAAGTGTATTTAGCTGTATTTTGTGTTGATGAAGATGTAGAGTAACTTGAACTCTCACACTACTGGTCAAAGTGTAGATTGGTCCATATGATTCAAAAAGATGTTTGAAATTATCTAATAAAGTTGGGTAAATGTATACACTAGATCCAGCAATTCCATCCAAAGATACAACACCAAAGAGAAATGTATACACATATGTGTAATAAAAACTTGTGTAAGAATGTGAATTGAGGGGCACCTAGGTGGCATAGTAGGTTAAGCATTGGACTTTGGCTCAGGTCATGATCTCGGGTGCAATCCCGTTTGAGCTCTGAGTTGAGCTCTCTGCTAACAGCTCAGAGCCTGGAGCCTGCTTTGGATTCTGTCTCTCTCTCTGCCCCTCCCCTGTTTGCACTCTGTCTCAGTCTCTCCCCAAAATAAGTAAACATTAAAAAAAAAAAAAAAAGAATGTACTTTGAACGGGGGCTTGGGTGGCTCAGTCTGTTAAGCGACTGAATCTTGATTTTGGCTCAGGTCCCGATCTCCCGGGTTTGAGCCCTGAGTCAGGCTCTCTGCTGATAGCGTGGAGTCTGCTTGGGATTTTCTCTCCCTCTCCCTCTCTCTCTCTCTCTCTCTCTCTCTCTCTGTACCTCCCCTACTTGCTCACTCTCTAAACAAACAAACAAACAAACACAAAAAAGAATGTGCATTGAAGTACTATTTAATTACTGATAACTAGCAACCGCCAATAGTACTGTGGGTAAGTAGGTGTGGAAATACTCACATAGATATAATAATAGAATATCTTATATCAGTGGCTCTCAATTCACCTGGAAGTTTTATTAAAACTCAGATTTCTAGACCTCATCCCCATAGTCTTTGATTCAGTAGGTATGAATTGGGCCTGAGATTTGCTTCTCTAACATGTTCCTTTTGTTCAAGGTACCACATTTTGTGATATATGATACAGCAGGCTACATTAAAGAAAACAAAACAAAAACAAAAACAAGATAACAAACATGATAAGAATTGAACTCACAACTATGTTGTTAAATGAAATAAGTTAACATTCAAGATTACATACTTTCCTATTACAGACAAAACAAGCAAATAATTTATGGTAAAAACATTTAGGATAGTGGTTATCTTTGAATACAGGTGTTGTTACCCAGAGAGTGAAGAAATAGAGCTTTTGGGGTGTTAGTAATGTTTTCTTGATTTGGGTGCTGGTTTCATGGGCATACTCAGTTTGTAAAAATTCATGAAGCTGTATGTCTAGGATTTATGTAATTCTCTAAATGTTATACTTGAATTAAAATGATTATTTAAATAAGGAAGCCTAACTGAATTCATATCCATATATATGTATATATAATTATAAATCCATATTTGTAAATTATAATTAATTGAATTTATGAAGAGGCAGTTCTAAGGTTATTTAAATATTAAATAATTACTTGAGTATTTAAATATTAGATATTTGTTAGAGTACTTAAATTTGTTAGAGTACTTAAATATTAAATATTTAAAGGTAGATAGTGAAGGAAGGGATTTAGACAGAAAAACATGCATTTTAGAGAACAGAAAACCTGAATGATTCTCAGTGCTTGGGCACTAAGTCTATGTCTATATATCTATGACACTGGTGTTCACTGGTGTTTTTTCAATATTTGGGATATGGGGATCACATTGTTATTTTTTGCAATTATTTGTCCAATGGTTGCAATCTCCCATCATAGATTCTGTATGATTGATGAAAGAAATTTCAACACAAATAAAGATTTGTTTTCTTTAAAATTTGCTACCTTGCAGTTATTCTTCCAAAACGAAAGAGGGAGAAGTTGAACAGGTAGGTGTGTTTTCACTAATCGAGGAGACTGCATTTTTTTCAAATACTCCACACCTACAAGCACAAAAGTTAAACATGTTATAAGCGTGGAATCATAAAGGTTAATGAGAATGTAATCTAAGGCTTTGTAAACACTAACCCCACTATACAGCTTGAAATGATTATATGGCTATATGGCTTCATATACTTATAAAATCTACAGTCAGCTCCAAACTGATAAATTCTGTTTACTTATTCTGTTTTATTTTGCATGTATTACAGGCAATAGCTGTCTGTAGTATCCTCAGATACAATACCTCAATAAGGCAGAAATAGCAACAGGTCCATGTCAAGGCATCCAAATTTTCCTTCATTTATCTTTCTCTTTTTCTTGTTTACAATATGGGGAAATTGAACTAGAGGATTTCAAAATTCCTTTCCAGCTTTCTTATCTTCAAATTATAAGATCAAGTTAAGCCAAGAGGCTCATAACTAATACAATTTTAATAATTCATTACCATCCATTGTTCTGTTCCTTGAGTCTGCAAATATCAGCTAACAAGCAGTAGACACAATTTTATATTGGATCAAACCCTGAATTTTTCTATATAATTATCCTACAATATTTAAATGTTGAAGACTTCCTCTTGTGCTATTAAGAAAAAAAATATTCTCATCAAAATCTCCTCTAACACAGATATTATCTTCGGGTGCAAGAAGAGTATAATATGGTTATCAGTATAGCTACTTTCTTACTCTTCCATTGTAGACACTTATGAGTTAACTGTCCAAGTTCTGTCTATATCGAGTCCATCATGAATCCTTCAGACACCACAAAATGATAGGGGGATTTATTGCTATGGGGAAAAGGAACATTAAGGGAAAATACCATTCTCCACTCCAGGAATTATCATTTCCATGAACGGCACTCGTTTGTATATTGTGTCCTGCTTACATTTCTCCACATCCCCTTTATTATAGATCAAATCCAATATTTCACTGATCCAGGTTGTTCCTAAGGGGGAAAAAATGGAACAACTTTAAACTTTTCTGTCAAAAAGAGTATAAGAAGGTCAATATAGGTAAACAGAAAGGTGCTTTTCATTTCCATTCCCTTTCTCTCTTCTCTCTTTTATAGGAGACATCATCATCTACCTTGAACATATACATATGTATTGTGTATGTGTGTGTGTGATGTGTGAGAGAGAGAGAGAGAGAGAGAGTCAATTTGGCCAAAATAATCATAAAGTAATTCATGAAAAGGAAGTAAAACATGGAGAATATAAGAGACAGGAGGTAAGTTATGTAGCCCACCCTCCTGAGTGGAATGGAGAGGGAAGTAGCCAATTTCAATTTGTACATTTCTTATTAATATCAAAAGATATTATTAGGCTTTGGGACTAAAGCATACTTGAGGTAAAAATGTTCAGCATTTGGTGGAGGTGTGAAGAGAGGACACAAAGAGAACTTTGTGAAGTGTGCCTGTGGGGACTAGTGTGCTACTCACAAACAGAGGACAATACATCCTCACTGAGCAGAGCAGATCAAATCACTCAGATCTTTATCACTACAAATGCTCTCCCACTTATCGTGGTTTGTCTTATGATTCTTTTTTGACTTAATGATGGTGTGAAACTCATAGGCATTCAGTAGAAATGGAAATTTAAATTTAAAATGTTGATCTCCCGGGCCAGTGATCAGTAATACAATGCTCTCTCACAATGCTGGGCAGTGCAGCTTCAACTCCAGTCCTCCAGGCAATAACGAGGGTCAACAATGGATTTACTTACAACCCATCTGTACCTATACAACCATTCCATTTTTCACTTCCAGTACAGTATTCAATAGACTACATGAGACATTTAGCATTTTAGTATAAAATAGGTCTTGTGTTGGATGATTTTGCCCAATTACAGGCTAATGTAAATGTTCTGAGCACATTTAAGATAGGCTAGGTTAGGCTAACCCGATGTTTGGTGGTTGAGGAGGGCACTTACTGGGATGAACACTGGGTGTTGTATATAAGCAATGAATCACAGGAATCTACCCCCTAAACCAAGAGCACACTGTACACTGTACATATGTATGTCAGCCAATTGCTTGACAATAAATTATATTAAAAATAATAAATACATTTTCAACTTATGATGAGTTTATAGGGAGGTAATATCATCATACGTCTGTATATAAAGATATTTAATTGTCTAAAGTGTTCAATGATCAGTTGAAGATGTGCTAAAAAAGTAAATATGGAGTGCCTGGGTGACTCAGTCAGTTAAGCTTTGGACTCTTGATTTTGGCTCAGGTCATGATCTGACAGGTACTGAGTTCAAGCCCTGTGTCAGGCTCTTCGTTGACAGCGTGGAGCCTGCTTGATATAGAAAATAAGAGCAGTCTTTTGTTCCACCGGACTGTCAATTCCTCAAGCTTCTGCTGTGTGTAGATTAGTCGGCTTCAGGAGTGACTCAAGCAGGGCTGCAGTCTCCCAGAGCCTCTAGCGTTGCAGATTGCTTCTTCCATATGGTCAGCTTACATGGCACTGATGGGTCAGCTCCCAGTTTCAAAATGCTGGCTTCACCCTCATGTAATGAATTCAGGGACCCACTTCAGCCACCGTGACTGCAGTAGGGGTGGACAAGATGACAGTGAACAGGCCCCTCCAGAGGGATTATAGGGGTTGGACATTCTACTCTTTTATCCGTATTGTATCTCCTGGTTTAAAAGGGTGAGCATCTGTGGTCAGATTTACAGGTAATCGCTCCCTAACCCCATGGTGAAAGGTGGCTAGGGTAGAGCCAAGGCCTGCATCTGTTGCCTTAGATTGGGTTAAATTGCCTATGTCATTTAGATCCCCTCTTATGTCCTGGATAATGGGGGGAGGGTGCCCATTAAGGATTTTATAAGGGGAGAACCCTATCTGTTTCTTCAGCCTCCCACCTATAGCTGCAGTCTGCCTCCTGAAGGTCCCTTATCTCTCCGTGCCTAATGTTAACCTTTCCCTATTTATTTCTCCCCTGGAATAGGGTCTATAACTGCTGTTAGGGAAAAGGAATGATGGCCATTCTGGCTTTTTCAAGCTGATAAGGGATGGTGTAGGGGGTACAGCCGTTGGAGTCTACCCAAGGGTCGGTTGAGTGGCCCACAGTATGGTTCTACAGGAAGGCTGGCAGGCATGAGGTGGCATAAACATTAGCAGACACAAAGAGATTATAACACAAAGCAAAGATTATACTGACCAACAAGATAGCACCTAAGATAATGTCCCCAGTTCCCAAATCTGTCAAACAATTTAGGAGAGACCCTGACTTTGTAAACAACATATGTCAGGGAATCTCTCATAACCCAGGTGATGGGGGAGCAGGAGCAGTAAGTAATCAATGGTGGCTCTATTTCCAACAGTTTGGCCCCAACTTAATTAAAAATATTTTTTTTAAAGGATCTATGCTTGTGAGGTGTTATTTAGAGTTTTGGTGAGTATAAGCGGGTAGTTTGCTTTATTTTGAGGTGTAAACCATTTCCAAGAGCCAGGAGTTCTACTAGGGAAAGAATCAAGGCAGCCATTTACCGTTATGAATTTGCAAATTTTTAGGTAAGCCAAACCTGAGTATTATTTTATAAAGCAGACTTTTATTACTTTTTGTGCCAATTTTGTCCTGCAGAGGAAGGCCCTTACCCAATTAGTAAAAGTATCAACCCATACCAACAAATGCTGGAATTCCTTTGACGTTGGTATATGAGTGACACCTAATTGTCAGTCTTTCCTGGATAGCCTCCAGTTCCTTAATTGCCTGAGAGAGCAAGTTTGTGGTGGAGAGGATCATTTGGAAGACATATTTCACAGGCTGATACTATTTGCTGAACTGTCCTTGACAAAGCTTCTCCAGTAAACATCCTTTGGGCCATTTGATAAGTTTTGCCCCTCCCTCATTAAAGGCCTGATGCTGCGTTTCACTGATCTTTGATCTCTATGAGGTTGGTAATAGTAATTGCCCGGTTCTGTTTGTAACCATTCCAAGGGCTAGAGACAGTGTCTATGATTCAGACCCCAGTTTATTTGCTTAGGAGAGTAGGTGGGATTGAGTCTCCTTTAATAATTGATATAGCAGGCAGCCAATATTCCTGAACCCTGGTATCTATAGCCTACAATATCCAGTAATTACCAAAAACTCACACAATTGTTTATTTGTTCTAGAGCTAGTAATACTATAGTCTCTATTTTAATTATAATGTCCCTTCTTAGCAAGGGAGTAAGGTTCTCTGGTATTATCAGGAAAGAAGAAGAAAAAATTAGTTTTCCCCATATATGTCCCAGAAGCTGAGAGAAAATTTTAGATATGTTTTCTGGGTATGCCTCTAATCATCGTGCTGTGTTTGGATAGTTGCCCTGGCGTGGAAAGGAGGACAGAGAAGGTGGGCTTTGGTGTCAAGAAGGAAATCAACCAGTTTTTCTTCTATATTTAGAGTTATTCAAGGCTCCGCGTTTCTGTTAGACAGTTGGTTTAGGAAAGCCACCTTGAGGGGTCCCAGGCCCTGTCAATCCCTTCTAGGGACATTGGTTATCTGAGCTCTCACAGATAGAGGTCCCTGAGGACATTCAGATCACCAGTGATTGTCTCCACATAAGGGGCATGGCTTATGGCGTTTTCATTTTGATTGTCCCCTGAGGATGTTCTCATTTGTAGTGTTCTGAATGGACATATAAATGGCACTTGGTGCCAGGACCTTGGGAAGTCCGTTCTGACATGGTACCTAAGGCTACAACTAAGGCCTCCAATTTTTTTAAAGCCTCCTTTTCTGTTTTTTGTTTTTGTTTTTTTTTTATTCTCCTCTTGATCTTGATTGTAATATACCCAGTTGGCAGCTCCTAAGAACCCCTCCAGGGTCCCTTCCAGACCAATAGCCAGTTTTTGCAGTTTTTTCCAAAAATCTGGGGCTGATCCAGTGACAGATTTGTCTTTCAGAAACATCTCAGTCTCCGGAGTGTTATGGGAGATAGCTATATATTTAATGAGAGCCTCCCTTAACCTTTCCAGGAAGGCCACCGGGATTTACCTTGTGTCTGTAAGATAGTGGCTAATTTAGAGTAATTTAAATGTTTAACCTTAGACCTCCTGACCAAAAATAAAAAAAAAAAATTAAGATTTTTCTTCACAAACCTTTTACAACTTTCCCCTGCTTTTAGTTCTGACCTGAGCCTTTTTTTCCCTCAAACAACCCATCTCATTTAGGACAAAATTACTTTTTTTTTACTTTAACAAAAAATGTATTTCTATTCCTTATATATTTTAATACATCTACTGTTTTACATACAGAGTTGCCTTCCTTATTTTGATCAGTCTTAACTACATTTAGCAGAATTTTAACTCTTAGAAAACTTAGTCTCCAGTGAAAACTAAGTAGTAACCAATTGTGAACTGTTACATCAGAATTTCTTAGATGGCAAACTTATGAATCAGTTAAGCACAAAGCATGTTTTCCAACAGATCCAAATATCCTTAGTTTTCCTGCAACAAGTCAAAAGTACAAACCTACATCTAGTAATGAGCACTTTAGCCTCTTATCTCATTAGATATCCGATGAACTTAATGCCAATTTGTCATGCAAGCAAAAATGTAACGTTTTAGGTTACCAAAGACTGTTAAATCTATCTTAACAATTACCCATGAAAACTATGGGACAGACAAGGTTAACCATTACTTTAAGTCATCTTTTTGCTAACAAATTGGAACCGAGAGAAGATGAGCTTATTAGACCTTTAGTAAATCTAGGTAGGATAATTTATTTTTTATTTAATGTTGATAAACATTATCTATATCAAACCAACAAACTTAAATTAGCTTAAACCCTGAATACATTTTACCTGCGTCCATTTAAGACAGTTTGTTCCCCATGGTTAATTTTTACTGAAAGCACTGGTGGGAAAATCTGAAAAGGGTGGTCTTTGCTCCACAATGTCTCTGGGTGGGAGGAGGAGCAGCCAGGAATGCAGGCTGCACCCCAGATGGTGCAGAAACAGGAAGGTGGGGGCGAGGAGGGAAGGCAGGAGAGGCGAGGTGCTGGCAGAAGGCAGAGAAAGAGAATTCCCAGTTAAAAATCTTGTCAGCTTAGACAGAGGAGCAAACTCCAGTTTTTTATTTTGTTTTGTTTTGTTCTCCACTAGTGGCATTAGGCAGTCCATGTCAGTCTGGAGAAGACAGGGAGCTTCCCTGAAACAAAGGGGGTTTCTGCAGCTCCTGGGGAATACTCCTTACAGTGCTTGATCTGAGGTAGACTAACCAGAGACAGTTGGTTCTGGGTATCCTAGTCATTGACCCAGGAAATGAATGAGAGAGGAGCCCCCACACCCCGTCATAGGGCGACTCCAATCCACTGCCCTACCTTCAGCGCCTTAGAGTTGTGACTTCTTTCTCATCCCTTGTGGAACTGCGAGGGCAACTCTGGGAGGTGATCAGGCCCCCCTTCTGCCTTTTAGATTTTTTTTATAGTTTATTTATTTTTGAGACAGAGACAGAGAATGAGAGGGGGAGGGGCAGAGAGAGAGGGAGACACAGAATCTGAAACAGGCTCCAGGCTCTGAGCTGTCAGCACAGAGCCCGATGCAGGGCTTGAACCCACTAACAATGAGATCTGACCTGAGCCAAAGTCAGCCACTTAACTGACTGAGCCATCCAGGCACCCCCCACCTCCTTTTTTTAAATTTGTGTTTTATAGCCCCTTCTGCCTTTTAGGAGCAAGGCTGCCAAAACGAGCCCGGACTCTTACCAAGTCCAATGGGTAAGTTCCTGGGCCTCACGCGTGCCCTTGTGCTCACACGGTATCTTCACCTGGTGCTCCAGGATAGGTTGATCTCGTGTGAATCAAATGGTCCACAGGCGCCAGGAGAGGCTGCCTCTCCCGATGCTCTGCGGTTCGCATCCCCAGTGGCAAAGAAGGTGGAAACGCACTGTCTCTGAATCCCAGACATGAGCCCCCCCACCCCCAAATGTAGCAGGATTCTCACACAGAGAGTCGTGACACTGAGGCTTTTCTTTCACTGAGGAAGCAAATGTATTCGTGCCAGAACAGCTCAGTTGGGCTCGTACCCAAAGAACTGAGCCCCCACAGTCCACGTGGTATCGTTTTAAAATATATTTTACCTCTTCTTTGTTTCCCATATATGGTAACATGCAGCCGATTAAGTGGTCTCACAGTACAAGGTCGTGAGAGATGTAGTCACATACTTGTATAGTCAGGTCGCCTTGAGGTTTTTGGGTTTTGTTTGTTTGTTAGTTTGTTTGCTTTCCTACCACAGCACAAGGATGCACCTTTGAATTAGTTCCATAAATGAGAGTACTTTAGGCCTTCTTTTTAGTCCTTTTTTGTGGACAATTCTTCTTCCTTCTTGTCACTGAATCATGAATATGAGACTATCTCTCCCATCCTTCTAAAGACAATTACAGTGCTAAGAAAAATTGGAGTTTCATACTATCCATGAAAATTTTGTTGCCTGATCTGGGTAAGGCTTAAGCAAATATTCATGGGAAAAAAGAGACCTAAGTTCCAAAACACAATATAACACATTCCATTTCCTGTCAGCGGACGGTTCAAATTGTGCCACTCAGATCTGATGGAAAGAAGTACTGTTTTTGCTATGCCTCAAGTTGGAAATGTTTATTTTCCATAATTTTTGAAATATAAAGCTCATGATTTGCCTCATATAATGAATAAGTTAGCTTGGCTCCTAACAGGGGATTGATATATTAATAACTTCAAGACAAGTTTTCAACAGCTCGTAAAGGGAAAAAAAATCAAAGACAAAAAGTGACCACAGAGTATTCAATTACTTTACATGTGGCCAGCTAGCCACCTAGCTTTCACTGTCAAAAGAATTCAGCTTCAAAAAACACTTTCACAAATGAACCATTTGTACATGGTAACTTCCAAAGATCATCCTAATGGTTTCCTGCTGGTGAATATATTTTTTTAAATAACAAAAACAAAAGATCATTTATATTTTTAGTAATTGCCCTATCTTTTCTAAACTCGTGCCTCAACCAGGAAACGCAAAGTAGTTTTGGTTCCAAATAGTCTGAGTTTGGAAAATTGCTCAGAGAGCAATGTAAGTAGCAGGAAGAAAGAAAAAAAAGTTTTTGCCCAAACAGGCTTGTTTTCCATTCCTACAAAGGTCTGTATTGTATATTTGTTTGTTTTCTGATAAGAGCTCTTTGTTCTCATGCCGTGTTTATAATTTTGGCATTAGAATCTCCAAAAACCCAGGTGTTTCTCCCAGGCTTTGTTACATACTCCTATGAAGTAATTTTAACAGTTATAAAATAAAAAGAGGATTAGTAGTCAATGTCCTTATTAAAACCTTCTTTTTCTCAATTCCTTTAAGAAATGAAGCAGAAAGGGGCACCAGGGTGGCTCAGTCAGTTAAGCAACTAACTCTTGATTTGGGCTTAGGTCATGATCTCACAGTTTGTGGGTTCAAGCCCTGTGTCAACTCTGCGCTGACGTCAGTGAAAGGCCTGCTTGGGATTCTCTCTCTGTCCCTCCCCCACAAAAAATAAATAGATAAACTTAAAAAAAAAGAAATAAAGTAGAAATATAAAGGAAAGTTGACTTTAGAGAATTTAGCAATTGGAACATTGATTCATTGTGGGCTCAAGTAAATTAGCTGGATAAAAGGCAACAGAAATTCATTCTCTGATATGTCTTTGTATATCTAACACTGGGTGAATTGGACTCTATCACAAAGAGATCTGGAAAAATAAAAATTAGTGATTCTTATTGAGTCATCTTAAATTCTTTTTTCTGAGATCATACACTGAGGTCAGCAGCTGTTTAACATTATAGCAAAATATTTCTAAATGTGTTTATAAAGTGTTTAAAATAATAAAATATTTTACCAAATATATTTAAAATAGGGGGCCCCTGGGTGGCTCTGTCAGTTAAGCATCCAACTTCGGCTCAGGTCATGATCTCATGGTTCACAAGTTCCAGCCCCTTGATGACAGCTCAGAGCCTGGAACTTTCTTCGGATTCTGTGTCTCCCCCTTTCCCTGCCTCCCCACCCCACTCACACTCTGTCACTCTTTCTCTCTCTCAAAAATAAATAAAAACATTAAAACAATTCATTTTAAAAAGGAAAATAAGACTATGGCATTAATTTTCCCTCAGGTTAGCCCTCACTCAGCGGCAGATCTTTCAGAATCGAAAGTGATTTTATCTGATTTCAGACAAACCTGTCCCAGCAGCTGCTACTCTGTTCCCTTCACTAGCGATGAGATTGGTGGGCTTACACATATGGATTGATAACCAGTGAGTACAAATAAATAAAAAGATCTTACCAGATTTGGGGTAGGTTGCAATCAGAAGGTCATCTGGTCGGGTCTCAAATGACTCCACCTGCCACCACTCCTCAGCAGTACCCCAGAAGATGGGGACACCCTGATGATCCACTAACTCCCTCCTGAAGATGTCCACCTTCTTGTCCATTTTTCAGAAACTAGATTCTAAACAAGAGGAAGCATGTTCAGAAGGCTTTGTTTCAATAGCAGTAATCAAAATAAGCTGATGTTTTATTAGATAATTCAGTATTTCTTTACTATTAATCTAGCAGCATTAGATCACATTACTGTGCCTTATGAATCAGTAAAAGAAGAAGAAGTATTATAAACCCTTAGAAGGTCTTGAACAATTTATTTCATATATCATCAACACTGTTCACTGGAGTATTGAGGCAAAGATTTCTTTATTTTTTTTTTAATGTTTTATTTATTTCTAGGAGAGAGACAGCGTGAGCAGGGGAGGGTCAGAGAGAGAAGGAGTCACAGACCGAAACAGGCTCCAGGCTCTGAGCCGGCAGTCAGCACAGAGCCCGACACGGGGCTCGAACCCACGAACCGCGAGATCATGACCTGAGCGAAAGTCAGACGCTTAACCCACTAAGCCACCCAGGCGCCCCGAGGCAGAGATTTCTGGGATCGGTAATACAAGTGCTGGACTTCGGAGTAAGGGGACAGTAACCACAGCGCTGCCAATTCATCGCAGGAGGGATTTAAACAAGCCCCATAACTGCACTGAGTCTTCTTCTTCTTTAATTTATGTATTTTGAGAGAGAAAGAGGGAGAGAGAGGCCGAGTGGGGGAAGGACAGAGAGAGAGAGAGAGAGAGAGAGAGAGAGAGAGAGAGGAGGGAATCCTAATCCCAAGTAGTCAGCACAGAGCCTGATGCACAGCTCCCTCTCACCAACAGTGAGACTCTGACCTGAACTGGAAACAAGAGTCCGATGCTTAACTGAGCCACCCGAGCGCTCCAGGGCCTTCTTAACTGTAAACTGAAGAGTGGCCTTATGTAGTACTGCCCTCCTTTAAATTACTAGGTAAGACTGGCAAATGATTCCATCTAAGTTATATTTAACAGACCACAAGAATGAAAGTATGTATAAGAGGGAGGGCGGGGAAGAAGGAAATGACAATAAAAAGCTGTGTGAAAGACGCAAGCCTGGAATAGGTGTAGCATCGGAGAGACATTGCTCCGAGGTACTTTCTAACACCAGTGATGTCATGTATAGTTTTATGTTCTCAGCACTCTCTAATACAGGTAGTCTTATCTTTCTTCAGCTATCACATATAAGCGGAAGAGCTTGAAGTCCATCCTAAGCCCTACTTTGAAACTTGTTCTTTTCCCAATTTACCATGAGCCAAAGTGGTTATTTTTCTTTGTTTAAAGTTCTAGAAAAACAGAGACTATCTGTTGTGTTTATCAGGCTTCCTGAGCCCTCTGGCAGCTGCTGAACTTCTCTTCAAGAATTAAAATCAGGTGTCTCTGGAGCCAACGGGTATAATTTAACCTGTTCCTTTTCTCATGTGCAATTTCTTGTCTTTTTTTCCTTTTCAAGTCCTCCCAGCTCCACCCCTACACTGCCTCATGCAAATACTTTTGATTTTAAAAGATTATAAACTTGAAGGATACAAAATCCATATACAAACCCTTTTGTGTTTCTATACGCTAACAAACTATCAAAAGCAAATTAAGAAGACAATCCACTTATAAGTGCATCAAAAATAATACAATATCTAGGAATATATTTAACCAAAGAGTTTAAAGAACTAAAGAACTGTACACTGAAAACTGTAAGACTTAATGAAATAAATTTAAGAAGACAAATACATGGAAAGATATTCTGTGCTCATGGACTGCAAAAGTTAACACTGTTAAAGTGAACATACTACCCAGAGTAATCCCAGCTATGTTCTCCACTATATCAAAATATATCAAGGGGCACCTAGGTGGCTCAGTTGGTTGAGAGTCCGACTTCGGCTCAAGTCATGATCTCATAGTTCGTGGGTTCGAGCCCCGCATCAGGCTCTGTGCTGACAGCCAGGTCAGAGCCTGGAGCCTGTTTTGGATTCTGTGTCTCCCTCTCTCTCTCTGACCCTCCCATGCTCCTGCTGTCTCTGTCTCTGTCTCTGTCTCTGTCTCTGTCTCTCTCTCTCTCTCTCATAAATAAATAAAAACATTGAAAAAAATTTAAGAAAAAGAAAACAAAGTGTATCACAGAAAAACGGACAAAGTGTACAAGTTCCCACTTGGCTAGTTACCAGGTTTTATTATTTTGTTACTTGTTTTATTTTGATTTTCACTAACTTTGTGCATACTAACATAGAGGACAGTGTTGTGAAAGCAAAATTAACTAATCAATTCAAAAATATTGATTGGCTATTATTGTTTAATATCTGGCACACGCTGGACTGGAGAATCTAAGGACTATAAAAACCTGTAGCTATCTTCGTGGTGCTTAGAAGTGAGTGGGAAAGTATGATACACCAAAGAAAGAAACAGTTGCCAGTAAATTGAAATTTTCATCATGACAAAGCAGAGATATATTCCATAAACAGAGGGAAACTGACAGAATCAAGCTGCTTAGAAATGTTTCCCCTGACAAATGAGCAAGGGCCAATTTGGAGAAGAGAACTTTCCAATCAGGAAAGAACAGGTGCAAAGGCCCTAAAATGGGAGAGAGAAGGCCTGTGAGGCTAGAGTGCCAATGAGGTGGAGTGTGTAAACACTTTGCCTAATTATGTTGTAAGAAACTAAAGACTTCAGGATTTTTTCTGTGTAATTAAGCGTGTCTGGGATATACTGGGTTTCTGGCTGTTCTCCACCAGAATAGGAGAATCCACTGACCCACCGTTATGCACAGTGTCAACAATAGCTCTGTCCTACTGTGAAAGGGTGGTAATATATTAGTGGTTCTGGGATTTCCTGAGCATCACAGGGGAAGAGTATATATTTAAAGATTAATATTATTATTATTTTAAATGTTTATTTTTGAGAGAAAGAGAGTAAGAACTGGGGAGGGGAAAAGAGAGAGGGGACAGAGGATCCAAAGCAGGCTCTGTGCTAAGGGTAACTACATATTATTATTATCTTTATTATTATTTTGCTTTTACCAACAGTCTTAGGATTTATAAATACCCTAAAGTTCTAATACAATACAATAGATACTATTAAGTTGATTCTTGTGTTTGCTATACCTCAAAAGTAAATTTATGACAGCATTGGGTAATGATTTGATGGTATTGGTATTACCATATTTTCTGTCAATATTTGCTAATTTTAATGCCTGTGAAAAAAAAGCATTAGAAATGTAAAGTTTTAAAAGTTCCTAATTAGTCATTGTCCCACCCTGCCCCACCACCATTGCTAAATAACAAGTTCTGATTTTTTAAAAACTAGTATTTGCTGGGAAGTACTGGGTACCAAGTGCTATTTGTAGGCAAGGGCCAGGGCAGAGAAAATGCTATGTATTCACAATACCTTTACCACTTTCCAAGCACAGAGAGTATTTTTCAGTCTCCCTTGCAGTAAGATTTGGAGCATGTGACTAAGTTTTGGCCACTGGGCTGTGGGTGATGTAAATCCTTTTTTTGACCCTCCAGTCCTTTCTTCCAGGGTCATGGAGCCCTTCTAATCTGTGTGTTCAGATGCTTAGATCTGCCAAGATTGAAGTGATCTTCCTCCCCTGCTTCAGACTATGACAGTGAAAAAGAATTCTTCATTATGTTAAGCCATTGATATTTTGGTGAGGTTTGTTTGTTTGTTTTTGTTTTTGTTTTCTATAGTATAGTCTGTATTGTACTATTCAGCATATTGTGGATACTACAGGAAAATTCTCAGTGAAATGCCTACTCTTATGGAGTCAATGTGAGTTAGATAAAACGAGAATAGACATGCTATATGGAGATAAGTACCATGAAGAAAAATAGAACATGGTAAAGTGATAAGGAATGATGAATTAAGTAGTAACAGAAGAATGATAACTAGAATTCATACATAAAATACAGATATGTGAGTGTTCACACCTTAAATGTGATAAGCCTCAAATGTGGTGTTAGGATTCTTATCTACTCTGTAAACACCCTCTATATGTAACCTACATATATGAGTGTCAATATTACCAGCCTGACAAAGATTTACATATTCTGAACATTTCTATGAATGTCTTGACTGTTCCACAAATTCAAAACATTTAAATCCAGGGCCATTTCTTTCCTCCCAAATATGTTTCACCTACTGTGTTATCTAGGCCTTACCTTAACTATAAATCTTTTTAGAAAACTCTCTAGTAACAACATAAGAAAGCTCCTCTCTACTTGCTAAATGGGATGCTGCCCAACTCATAAATAATTCAATAAATTTGATCTTAAAATTTACTAAATTGAACTTTGATTCTTAACCAATCTGGTGGTAGTATTGGGATCCAAAGTGAACTTCTTATTTTTTTTAGCTTTTAGGTATAGTTTTTTATTTTTTTTCCATGTTTATTTATTTATTTCGAGAGAAAAGAGGGAGAGGGAAAGAGAGAATCCAAAGCAGGCTCCACACTGTTAGTGCAGAGCCTGATGTGGAGCTCAAACCCATGAACCATGAGATCATGACATAAGCAGAAATCAAGAGTCAGATAGATGCTTAACTGACTGAGCCACCCAGGCTCCCCATGGGATCCAACATGAACTTCTGATGGCACTCAGGAGCAACAAGAAACACAGGTACGGTGCCCCAGGAACCCGTTGAGTCCACTGTTTTTCTGGCCCTTTCTGAGAGCTCTTGGTAAGTCTTGGTTTCGGCTCTGTTCTTCTTGCATTCAAGCTACTGATCTCATTGGCTTTCTGACAGGAGGCTCTAAAGGAGCAGAACACCCATCCTTAGCCCTTGGTTCAGTCCACAAGTCCATGTTGGAATAATGCTTTCCCCAGTTCCAGTCCAAAGTCCTTATTTACTAGAATTTGCTGGTTTAAGCCTTTCCAAATTTCTTGTCCAAGGTCTCCCTGAATGGCACCTGCTGGGTGAGTTCACATTGGGGTTTGCTGGTGTCATGGGGTTGTCTGTTGGCCAGTCCACAGTGACATCTTTTGGTTACTGCAGGTGTGTTAAAGTGTACATTTTTTTGTTTTGTTTTATGTAAATAAAGGTTACTGCTAGCAGGGAATCTCGGAGGTGCAAATGC